TGTTATTCAATTTCATAATACAAGTGAATTCCCAATAATTAATCTCTATGAATAGGCAAATTAATAATATTGAATTCCAAAAGCACCAGACTATTGCCTTGCAGTTCTCTTCTTCCGCTGAATTCCAGGCCTCTAATATGAAATTTAACTTGTTGGGTAAATAAAAAATACATTTACATTGATTAAGACATATTCATTATTAGAACTTATACACATTCATTTCTTAAGCAATTTAATATTGGTATTGACAGAAGTTTGTTTAGCACTTGTTATATTCATACTACCAGCTTGCGTATATCTCAATTAATTCTCTAAGACCCTGAAATTAATAACCGGGTAAACCTTATAGTGACCACTCCCATTAGCAACCGATGAAAATCGAATTCTATATCTCTTAAGTAATACATCAAAGAATTTCTATCATCCCACCCAACCATCTAGCTAGCGGTGGTTATATAGCATACTACATTAACCACTTGAATTTGTAAAGATATTGGAAATGTAGTAAAAATTGTAAAAGAGAGAGAGGAGATTGATGATTAGCATTTAGCAACACCCGAAATGATAATTTAACTTAAACTTACTGCGGAGTTGAAGTAGTGAGAATTTTTACAAGAGCAAAAATGAAGCGAATGATCACTATATGTATATAAAATGTAAATAATAATTGGAAAGTAAAATAAATATCCTTTATTTGATAGCATTCTTTGTTGGTTTATTTAATAATTTTTCATTACAAAACAAAGAGATGATGACATATCAATACTACAAATACATTAATTATAACATTATATTTAAAAATCCACATGTGAATTTGTATACATACTACATCAAAGGACAAGTAATCGATAAATCTACTAGAAGTATATATAATAAGGTAAAACAAATAAAAATAATAATATTAGACATGGTCAAAGTCTTATAAAAAGAATTATTAAATAACAGAGCAATTTATACGAATTCTGTTAATTATTTATGATTTTAAGACTTCCGAGATTATTCATATCACCATCTATCCATAAAACATTAGAAACTAGATATAAAAGGTCGATGTTATCATGTATTGACGTCTAGCTATGATCTATAAAGGGTATAACAAATTTATACCTATTATATATAATTAATTAATATAGGGCATGTCATTTAAAAAAAAAAAAAAAAAAAAAAAGCCTCTATCTCAAGTACTTTAACCACCTCTGGGTGATGAAGTGGTTGAACAAGAATTCTTGGTTGTATTACTCAAGAAATCCTGAATTCGAGTCACTTCGATTGCTAATAGGGTTGGCCACCGGAAGGGAATACTCGATCGTTAGTTTCAGGGTTCTGAGAGATAAGAGTTGCCACTGGATGGTATACTTAGTCATTAATTTCCAGGTTCTTAGAGATTAATCAAGATATACACAAATTGATCCGAACACCTTCGATCACAGAAAACAAAAATGTGGTACTTTGTGGGGGAATATGATCATGAAAAGAAAACAAATAAGTGTGTTACTTTGTGGGGAATATGATCATCTAATTGAGAAATATCTTTTCATACATTGATCTAATCTAAAAATCATATCAACGATCATCCAAAATGATATATCAGATAAAGAAAGAAAACAGTGTATATAAATTAGTCAATTTCCCAATTATTAAATCAGCAAAAAATTGACAATTCTTGCTAAAGAGATATGAATTCTCATGGAATTATCTATCTTTTGGTTAGTGGCTACTGGCTCTCATTCTTTGTGGCCATCCTCTACTCAAGTAGAAAGAGTGGCCAAACTGACAAACAACTATAATCCATTGCTCCTCTTGCCACAAGGAATCATATTCATGCTTTATTACTACAAACAGAATATCTCACTTATTCTTCTTGTTTGTAAAAGGACTACTACAAATATATTTATTCTTATCATATACTTAATTATGCTTCCCTTCCACACTATATGTGAAACTTATAATATGTTATAAATCCAAGTTCTTTCTTACAAATTATATTGTGTTTATGTTTAATATATGTTAGTGTAATGTTTCTCCATTACATGTCTTGATACAATTCACAAAGACATGTAATGTAGACCATGCCCACTTAATGCGTATTTTTTTTCAATTCAGTCCATTATGGATGGAGAATTGGACACATACCACAACTTTTTTGGTGCCCAATTTAACTGGTGCATATACTCGAATTTGGTCAATCAAATGTCAACATATCAGTTTGTTTTAGTCAATTTAAGAGACACAAAAGTGAATAAAAATTCAACAATTTAAGTCGACAATTATTCATAATGCTAATCAAGGACGACAATTATTTGTGGGCACTCATCATCCATTAGAATTTGACAAGATCTCACCAAGCTTAAATTATTTAACCACAAAGTCAACTGTATATACTATATACTTTATATATAGCACTACTGCTACACTTAAATTTCCATGCCTACAATCATTTCTCAGTCTTTCTATTTTTCTGGTCAACTAAAGCTGCAGCGACTAAAATTTCAAGTTTTAACAACATTTAAAATTAATAAGACTTGTGTTAATACCTTTAAATTTGCATATTAATACAAGGAAGATAATAATTTTCTATCATCCTTTTCATTTACCCAACTTCTCGATCAGTCTCTTTTAATTGTATTCCCACCTGTTACATAATTTCTTGGGTCATTTTCAAGCTTTCAGCCTTACATGAATCTATCTATCTATCTATTAATTATCAACAATGGTGATGTTTGATTAGTCACATGTATATGTCATCTTCTAATAGGTTTAGTTTTTTTTTTTTTTTTTTTTTTTATACGATCGGAGGTGTCCGAGTCAGGTTGCACACACCTTAATTAATTTCTCAGGATCTTAAAACTATCGATCAGATAAGAGCTCCAATGGTCACCCCTATTAGCAGTCGTGGGGACTCGAATTCGGGAAAATGTTTAGGGTTTCAATAATAGTAATTAGTAGTACTTAATTAATAGATAAACAAGAACATGAAATTGATTGTCCTCATCCATTGCAAACTGTCAAATTGTTAACTCCATCTGTCAATTTCTCAAGCATATGCATTCTTGTGGTACAAAAACTCAAACAGATTATATATTACTGACGTAGAAATGATGACATTAATTAATAACTCTATATATCTCTCTTTCATTTCGGGCCATCTAGCTTATTGATGAATGATGATCCATGGATGACTATGACATTGCTTTTTATTTTGCTTGAAAACATTTTTCACCTTCTGAAAATGAAAATGAAAATGAAAATGAAAGAAATGCAGAGTACCAATGGATAAGATAAAGTTGATTGGATTGTGGATTGGTAGACGCTAAAACAAAATGTGACAGAAGCACTCAATTGCGGAAAAAAGTGAGCCAGATTATGTTGTTTTCAAGAATAAACAACACAAGAAAGATGAAAGCTCAGTTGGCATTAATATTTCAAGAGTAAGTAACCATGAAGTCTAGATTCGTAGCATGACAATGAGATGAACCGAATATGTTGCTTCAACTCCAGCCTGATATCTGGAGAAAGTTCAGACTCAGTAACATACTGTTAGGACTGAAGTTCAATTCCTGACCCAAGGAAAGAACGAAACCACATTGGGGAAAACATTCAGCCCTGTAGCAGTGTCTGGCCCATAAATATCCTACAACTTAATATGATATATAATTTTTAAATAAATATTATCTATATTACAGTTTATTCATTTAGCATAAAAGCGACATGAATCAAGTAAACTGTAATATAGATGTTTGATGTTCACTTTTTTATTTTAGTTTTAACTTTTAAGATAAATATATTTATATTACAGTTTTTTTTTGTAATATAGATGTTTGATGTTCACTTCAACTGTTTTCCATGCCAAGCATTACTTCCAAGATTAGCACAAAAACAAGTTCATCATCCACAACGCTTAATGAAGGGCAACGCCACAACAATGGCTGCCACTGCCTACTGATAAAATGAAAAGATTCTTCGGATTTTGTCAAACTCGGATTATTGCCCCTAACTAGAAAACATAAAAGCTTGTAAATTCGCTCTTCTGAATTTGCTACATGTCTACCCTCTTGGCAGAAAGTATTTCCTCTGAAGATTGAAACAAATGCTATGATACAAGTATGGCTAGTCAATAAAATTTTCAACAAGGATGTAATGTGCTTAAAATCAATGTTAAATAATATAATTCTCAGTTTTCCTATACATTTCTGTTTTCTTTTTAATATCAACAGCTAGTGTAGAATGTGATAACTGTGCAATCAGATCATTGGGGTGTGTTTACAAACCTATAGGGACTGATACGTATTTATCAAGAACGTGTTTGCTAGATTTCAAACTTGTTAGATTATCAATTAGATTGTCGATTTGACAAGTCGAACCGTCAACCCGGGATCTGGCCCGTTAGCTGAGTGACACCTCGGGTCAGGTTTCAAAACACTAGTCATAGTCATGTTAACTCATTGTAAACATATCCAGAATTTTATAGAATCCATAAACCCATTTATGACTAAATTATGTAATGTTAAGTTGTTTCTAGTTTTTTACCGATAATTAAAAGTTTATTTGATTTGTTTATGAATTAATCTCTATAATTATATATTTATTATATAAATTAATGATTTTTATTTTTAAAATTAAGTATAATTGTGTATCTTTGATTAGGCGAGCTGGAGTATAAATGGATTAAATAGATCGTATCATATTATTTGACAAAACACAATTCATTTAACCCATCTATTTAAACAGGTTTACAATGACCCATATCACTTATAAATTGTTACTTAAATAGAATTTTATTTATATATTTTTTTAACAACAATGTTAGACGTACAAAAATTTTTTTTACAAAAATTAATAAGTCACTTGTTTATGGTCAGAGATTATAAAATCAAAACATAAGTTGTCATACTAATCTATTATTAATATGTTTTTCATCTAAAGATATATATAAGACAAGAATAAATGTAGATTGCAGCCTTACAACTTACAACAAAACAGCTCTTTTTTTAAAAAAAATAAAAATAAAAATACACATTACAGGTACATAATAGAAAAAAGAAAAAGATATGTTAACTCAAGATTTATTAACTACATAAGTTTATTATTACAAAAGTAGGGAAAAAAAAAAAAAAAAGAATTCATGTTTAAGCTCTTATTATACACAAAGATTTGAACAGTAGACCGTCACCAGCCTTGCTTCAGCTGATACTTAAAATCCCTTCATGTGCTTTTCCCAGCCACTTTATTCAAGGAGGTGAAGCTCAACCTGGAAAGGAAAGTGGGAAAATATTCAGTTGATTAAGAAGCAAGTGGATATCATACATAATGGCAAATTGGCTCCCAACTTGGAATGAGAATTTCTGATTTTCTTGAAACAAATTGAAGAAAATATAGAGGGAATGGTATCACAATATAGGGAAAAGAATCTGTTCTCAAGCATCAAAATGGCTACAATCTTAACTGAGTGCACATATGTAATTTTGACGCATCGTACTCAGTATCAATTGAATCAGTAATTACCTGATTACTGGCTTTCGCTGTGGCACAGGTGCAGGATGAATCCCATTCGAGAGTGGCACCGTAAGTTCAGCAGGCTTTACAGAACAAAACAAAGGACAATACAGTAAGTACACATGCAGTAAAATGTCGCCCAAGCTAAGATATTCACACGGTATTTTGAAGGAAAAGAAAACACACAAGGTTTCTAAATATGTTCATATCCAGATAATTGAAAACAAGTCACTTGGAATTTGATTAACTGATAAGGTCTCTTCTAGTTATACTAACTAAAGGTTTTGGAACTCCAATCTCAATGACATTGGAGCACTTAAGATTAATCGACAATGCTTTTCCTAACATATGGTTAAGTCTTCTTTCTCTGCCAACAGCATCTAAAAGCTGTCCATGTTCTTCTCTAACCTTCAATTTATCACCTCCGTCATGGTGTTAGAAAACGACCTCAATCAAACAAAACCATTTGGTAACCAGTTATGATACACAATATCACATGAAGAATTTACCCTTTCAAATAGCAAATAAAAAAAATTAAAACAAATAAATTTCACTTTGTTCCTAGAAATCCAATGTTAATGTCATGAAACTTCTTTTGCCAAATTCATTTTCTTTATAGACAGAGAAAAGCAAGAGAAGCACCCAGAGGTCGATTAATTCAAACACCTATGGCATATGCAAGAATAAATGTAAAAGAAAAATCCAACAGACTAATAACAAGAAATGTTAATTCTTTGAAGCCACCAATTATATTTACAGGGTTAGCAGATAAGACCTCAAGCTCCTCCAAGCCCCCATTAGAGCATAAAGCAGTGGAAGGACCACCTCCATTGATAGATGTTACTGTTGCTGCTACGCTTGCATTTACTGTCAAGGACTCCACAGAGCTGGCCTGTGTGTTAACCCCAATATCTTTGACTTTATTTTTTAGTTCGGGATCATCTTCAAGCTCATCAAATTCTTGTGGAATAGCTTGATGAGCAACATAAGGACCAGACATAATCTTCTCAATAGCAAGCTTCTCAGCCTCTTTCATGCTTGATGTATCTGCTGATAAGGCTTTACTGGAAGGATCGGTGAAATCACATGTCAACGATCCACCTACATCCCCATTCAGAGAAGAATCCTCTGCTAAATTCCTTAAGCCCTCAGAATAATTATTTTGGGCTATTTCTCTACTTGATTCCTCAAACCCATTTGCCTCCATATGAACAACCTTTAAATTTAAAGAAGATGAACTCATGGTACTTAAAGGAGGGCTACCCTCACAAACTTCCCCACTAGTTGAAGGCAGACAAGCAAAGCACTTACTAGTTCTCAAGTCACCATCTACAGTATCATCCACCCGCTTTCTCTTCTTTCCATCATCTACTCCGTCTGATTTAGCATGGTTTGGAACCTTTTCTGAAACCCTCCTACTCTCCCAAGTCCCTTTTGATGGACGGGAAGGTCGAACACCACCAGGGAATACAAAATTAGGTAAACTCCTACGTTTAACATGGATTACACGGATCTCCATTCCAGGTTTCCACAATGTGTACATGTTGACAGAGTGCTTAAACTCTTCCACAGTTAACCTAATATCAAATTGTTCGCCTTCATTAACTGGAACCCCTTGTTTCCGTTGCAAACCCATGAAATAAGAGCAATGAAAAGGTTTTGACTTATCAGAAAAATCTCCTGGGTGCGGGTGGCATTGAAGCATATTGTAAGTATGCCTCTCAATCTGGATTTCACATAAACAGAAAAAGTTAGGATCACCATCTATTGAAGAAAAAGAGATAAAAAAAAAAAATAATGTACAAGGTCTAAATTTAACCTTCAATGTGAGCTGACGGAGGCGAGACTCAACCCAGCCTTTCCACTTTCTCAAGTCATCAGCATTTTCTGCAGAGACATCTATCTGTAGATAATTTTTGTATGCTTCAAAAAAAGCGTAAGACTCAAAAAGGGTATCCCAATCAACTTCACTTTTCTCCATAGCCTGCAAGCTCAAACAAGCATCAAATTAGAACAAAAATTCAGAGGAAAAGTAAAGAGCCTTGAGAAGACATCAAGATGCTTGATCCATGGATGCAATGAAAACAACAAGGGATAGAAAGAGGATGACAAAATGGGGGACTTTCACTTTTAAAAAATCCAGTCACAAAATGAAATTCATATGTGATGGCTTGCACCAACAAGAGAACATTTATCAATCATCTTCCATCACCCCATCCCACCCCACTCCTGGAAAAAGTCCCTGATACAGAAACTAAATGGATAGTTTGGTTCTGACAATCCCAAATCAACAAAACAATTTGGTAATGATGTAAAGTATATTGTACAGAAAAATTTATGATTTCATATGCAATAGAAAATATAACAGTTGAATTGTTCTCTACTGGAAAATGTGCAATCCAGAATACAAAAAGATAAGGATATAGTGGCATTTACCACAAATCATACCTCACAGATTTCATGCCCCCTCTGAAATTCATCCGTCATAATTCGCAGAGTGCTCGCTGACACATTGTAGCTGGAGTTCATACAAGGATAAGCAGGGGTAATTATAGGCATCAAATGGTACCTATCCTTTGGATTTCGTCGAGGATCCCAAACTTGAAGACCAAGCGATCCTCCCTCTATAGCACAGAGCATTACTGGATTTGGCCAACGCCACTGGGTATAAACCCTGAAGAACCGAGATACCAACATATTGGGCAGAGCATTAGGATATAGCTGACATATACGAGCCACAAGCAATGCCCAATTTATACCACCAAGAAATCCTGCAACCTGCTCATAAAAACGGAAATGAGGCCAAAGGAAAACAGCATCAAACAAGTGTAATCATTTCTAATCAAATCTTTCAAATAAGGAAACCCCACATACATTGGAATAGACACCACGACGCTTTGCCCAATATCTCATGCATCTCAATGTTGTCCGGAAATTCTGCACCACAAAAAGCAGCACCACAATCACAGGCAAGATCCTACTTTAAAATCAGAACTGAAATTCATAAGCATATAAAATCTGTAAAATTACGGTTACGACCTGAATATTAGGAACCAAACGCAGAATTTGGTCAGTAACTCTGCAGCCATTGAGACTACGAACTGTCTGTTCATCGGCATTCTGTAGTATTGAGTCTTGAGAAATATCTAAGTCCTGAGTCAAAATTAACATATTAAAAATATCAATTTCTAGTAAACTGTCATTTAAACTTAAGGACATATATGTAGCTATAGAAGCATAATAGCAAATGTATGAAAATGAAAATTCGAAAAAATCTATGCATATTTCTCAGTGTTCTGGTAAGCCAGTTCTTACCTCAGGAATGACCCAAAGAGAGAGTCTTGCATAAAGAAGATCTATAGAAACACCACTAAATTTGAATCTCATCACTGGGACATGAGCATCAGGCACAGGGTGCAATTCTGTTACTTCAGGCATATCTGAAAGCATCTGATGTAGCTCACCAAAGAAGTCTTCCTGCAATCCATTCCCAAAAGTATTTTTTAGCTCATGAAAAATGCTACATAAAGGGAGTAAATTAGTTGAACCTTGAATAGAAGAGAAGCGATCACACCTCTCTTGTTGCATGCCTAGGTCCAACACAAAGTGTGTCTATATCCGCTCCAGGACCATGCACCTATCGGAACACAAAAAATAAAAACATAAAAACTGAAAGCATGATAATCAAGAAATTGGTATAGTTACAAGATACAAAAAGGAAAGTAACTACAAAAGCTCTTACATATGATTATTTTTCAATAAATTCAAGCAAAAGCCATCAATATTCATCTATATGAACAATAATCTCTAGTAAACAGGTGATACAATATTACTACCAAAAAAAAAATTGTAATAAACACCAAAAAGAATACAATGTTGAAAATGTAACTATAAGAAANATTAGAACACAAAAAATAAAAACATAAAAACTGAAAGCATGATAATCAAGAAATTGGTATAGTTATGAGAGACAAAAAGGAAAGTAACTACAAAAGCTCTTACATATGATTATTTTTCAATAAATTCAAGCAAAAGCCATCAATATTCATCTATATGAACAATAATCTCTAGTAAACAGGTGATACAATATTACTACCAAAAAAAAAAAATTGTAATAAACACCAAAAAGAATATAATGTTGAAAATGTAACCATAAGAAACTACAAGATCAATGTTCCAATATGTCCAAGCAAAAGCTATATATATATATCCATTCTTTGGTAACCAAGAGATGATGAATCCTTATGAAGATACATCTAAGTCAAAATTATGCTTCCCTTAGGAAACAGTACCGATGTGATATTCAAATACGTTGCCTTACAGTAAATATCCACATATTATTAAAAAGAAATAAATATAAGATACTTGGTAATCAGTGCAGAAACACTGCTCTCTATTTATGCAGCAAAAAAAAATCTCTGAGTGAGACATAACTCACAATGTTTTTTTAAACTTTTTGTGTAAAAAACCCACTCTCAATAGATATAGTAATGAGCGCACTAAAACTTCAGCATATATGCATCGAAGTCATACCCTATTGATAATTTAAGATCGTGAAGATGAACTTACTCTCAGACAACAGGCCATTAGAGTATTGCTAACAAAAGAAAATCTTAAAAGCTGCTCATCCACAAGAAGTTCTTAGCATTCATAACTTCTTTGAAGTAGCAGTTACCTTTCATATCACGTGATACTTTTAAACACATCACTTTTCAACAGCTGATTTCAAAACCTAGAAAAAGTGCCAACCAACAAGACTACCAGTCTCTATGTAAAATAGATTAATACACCCATGCTACCTCAGATCAAACAAAAATGTAATAGGAACTGTTTGTACATCCAAAATGCACAATAATGCAATAAATCTTTTTTTACATTCAATAACACACTCTGATAGCTCAAAATCAAATACATAAGTACGTAACTCATAATGCTTTTCTTTTTTAACACTTCCAAAGAACAAACATAAGCAAATGAAAAGACGAATAGCATAAAAGTAATATAATTATACCCCGAGCCGATAAGAACCAAAGGTAAATATCTTGGCATTTGCTTCTAGCACCAGTTGCTCATTCAACCCTTTCGCACGGCTAATTTTCTTAACCCAAGTCTTCACAATCTGTTTGATAACAAAATTAAAGGTCAAAATAAAAAAAGACATTCTCTACCATCCTCCATCAAAATAAAAACCTTAAATCTCCTATTTGTTTTCATCACTTTAATACCTACTGTAGAAAACTCACCAACATAATCATACAACCAAATGTGCATTATGTTAAACATAAAGTAGAATTGAGAGCTGAGAGAGGAATTTAAACCTGGTCTAGTCTCCCAAGCACTTCCTCTCTACTAACAGCCTCCTCTTGACTCTCATACAAATTGACATCTTGCAAATACTGAAACACACAAAACCACAAAGTAGTACAACCTCAACTAATTAATCATATCCACAAATCACAATAATCCAATCAAATTCATAACTGAAACCTTTTCAAGCTCGCGGGTCTTGATCACATCGAACTCCGTTGGCCCTCCCAAGGATATGGGCTCCGTTATGCCCAATCGTTGTCCATTATTGCTGCCCATTAGTATTGTTTTTTCACAAGTTTTCTTTTTCTTCTTTTTCTCTCTCTTCTTATTTTTTTTTTTCTCAATCAAATGGGTTGGTTAAGCATAATTTTATCCAGAACATTTATACGTGTATTTTGCTTCTCTTCTTTTTTTCCAGATAAAATTCGAATCGGAAACACACTGAATCGAGTTGTAACAAGGTAATAATCGTTAATTGTACAGTGTTGGGTGGAAAATACAAAAGCACCAGCAATAGTAACTATGATAATAATGATAATAATAATAATAACTAAACAAAAGAAAAAAGGAAATTTATCTAACCCTTAATTCTAATACGACTATAATCGAACAAAGTACAACGGCACACCAATTTGAAGGCCTCTAATCAAAATCCAAAAAGCCCTAAACCTAATTTGCTAAACGATGAAAGCCATTCAAAACAGAGAACGCAATCAGAAGTCGAAATAGCCGCGGACCTTCGTCGGCGGTGTGGTTGTTCTTCGAACTGAGCGATTAATCGAATTAGCCTCGATTCTCTGAACGAAACCCTGAAAAAAATATCTTTCAAAAGAGAGAAGGAGAATCGAAGGAATTTATTAGAGAGAGAAAGTATAAATAACGAAGAAAAGATAAGGAAGAAGAATGCTTACAGAGAGTTTCGCTTGTCTTTTTTGACGCGTTTGTTTAATTTTCTTTTGTTTTTCTAATATTTTCTTTTGTTCCAAACAGGGTGGAGGTGGTGAAAAGGTTGGTTTTTTTGAGAGTGAGTGATCTGGCGGTGGATATAAAGAGAAGAATGAAGAAGTTTGGAGGGATTAAAATTCCTACCCCTTCAGGATTGTTGAAATTTACGTGGCCCTCAAATTCTTTAGACTTCCCTGTCAACCCCAATATTTTAAGATAATGGCAATTATACCAATGCAAGGACAAAGTTGGTAATTCACTCAAAAGATGGAATGTGGCAAGGGCTTCTTCTTTTTCACTGCACTTATTATAATATTTCACACTCAATCACTAATTAACCAAACCCACAAAACAAATCATCGTAATCTTTTTTTATTAAACCCAAAAATATGAAAAAGTCTTCTATGTATCATGTTGCAATAAAACCCATCAATGAGAATGTTTCACATCAACGCAAATTAATTACATTTGTTTTCCCATTATTTGACTATATGACAAAAAAAAAAAAAAAAAAAAAACCCACTATTAACTTTGCCAACAGAATCAGAAATTATATTACGAACGATGTTACTATCAATTCAACATAAAAGAACAACACACTAAAAATAAAATAAAAGAAGTCACTCATAGTCTCATACTACAAAAGAAATTGAACAAAATATAATTTGAAAGGAGTGTGAATAAGATACTGTTAAAAGGGTATTTATGTCTTTAACCGGATTGATCAAGTTTCATGTATATTTGGGTAAAAAGGATTACTTTAGTTTTTAGAAGGCAGGTTGTAATTTTACTGAAGGGCAAATACTTAATTTTAATCCGAAGTTTGGTTAACGAACCCAATTAAACAAAGAATTGTACGTAATTAATTCTGGACCCAATAGTTTCGAGAATTACACTTTTATCCCTCTCAAATCAACAGCATTTCTGCAGAGACACATCTACTTGTAGATAATTTTTGTATGCTTAAAAAAAAGCATGAGGCTGAAAAAGGGTATCCCAATCAACTGCATTTTTCTCCATAGTCTGCAGGCTCAAACAAGCATCAATTTAAAACAAAATTCTGAGTAAAAATAAGAATCTTGAGAAGACTACGAGATGTACTTGATGCAAGAAGAAATTCATATGTGATGGCTTTCGTCAATAAGAGAACATTCATCTTTCCTCACCCCACTAGAGCTAAGAATGTGGAATATTACGTATGTAATATAATGCAAAATTTAATCACTTACCTCCAGCCATATTGTTCGAGTGCTGTAGAAAGCTAAAACGTGAATGATTTGTGAGTGAGTGTTTGAGAGATGTCTTCTAACCTATGCCTCCAGAACCTTTTGTATTTTTTTGTGATATATTTTTTATGGAGAAGATGATGTCTTTATATATGGCTAGGCTAGGGACCAAGTAACGCCCGTCAAAGATTAAAAGAGGCAGTTAATAACTCCTTTAAACCACTTTGAACTGCATAATTGTGGCATGTAGCCACATCAAGTCTTACATTCTCCCACTTGGCCTCATGCCGCAATTTGGAAAAATACTATATAGGTGATTAATCTGAATATGGCCATAATATGAGTTATAGCAAGCATTACTTACATAAAAGCTCAATACATGAATGATGGCGGTCATATCCTTTAAATCGAACACTCTCTTCCATCTATTACAATGCATGATATTTTATATAAGTACTTTATGAGTTTTTTAAATTTATGAATGAACTTCCTGTAAGTCATTCGTGGTCCACTTTATTTTTGACAATTAACTTTAGTGCACAAAAAAATGTAATAGATAAACTGTATATGTCAAAATATCTGAATAAGGTCATAGATACAAATGTAAAAGTTAACTTATACATCAAATGAACTAACTAGCCCCATCCGAACCACATGATCCTTAAATACTTTAACTGACAATCCTTTGGTCATGGGATCGATGACCATTAATTATGTACCGATGTGTTGGATATCCACCTTTTGCTATTTAACATGACATCTAACTGAAAGATATTTTATATCTATATGTTTGCTGCGACTACTATTTTTGTTATTCTTTTAGAAGAAAACGGCAGCTGAGTTATCACAATAAATCTTTAATGGCCTTGCAATAGAGTCAATAACTCTTAAACCAGATATAAAGTTTCTCAACCATAAAGCTTGTGATATAGCCTCATAACACGCAATGAATTCTGCTTCCATTGTGGATGTTGCAATTATGTTCTACTTAGTGTTTTACCAAGATATAGCACCGTTAGCAAGCATAAATATATATCTAGAAGTAGACTTCTTAGAATCTTTACATCCACCAAAATCAGAGTCTGTATACCCAATCACCTCCAAATGATCAGAGTGTCTATATGTAAGCATATAACCCTTGGTTCCTTGCAAATAACGCATAACTTTCTCGGCAGCTTTCTAGTGTTCAAGGCCTGGGTTACTTTGATATCTACCTAACATTCCTACTACATACCCTATGTCAAACCTGGTACAAACCTAAGCATACATGAGTTTCCCTACGGCTGAAGCATAAGGTATTTTATTCATCTCCTTGAACTCCAATGAGTTATTTGGACATTGTTCTAAACTGAATTTATCTCCTTTAACAATAGGAGATGGTGACGGTGAACAATTTTGCATGCGAAAACTTTCCAAAATCTTTTCGATGTAGGTCTTTTGAGATAAACCTAAAAACCTTCTAGATGTATCTCTGTGAATCTTTATGCCAATGACATAAGAGGTTTCACCCATATCCTTCATCTCAAAATTTTGAGAAAGAAATCCTTTGGTGTCATGAAGTAGACCCAAATCACTGCTTGCAAGTAAAATATCATCCACATATAGAATTAAGAAGATAAACTTGTTCCCACTGGTTTTAAGATAAACACATTGGTCCACAATATTCTCAGTGAAACCAAATGAGATAATAACATTATGAAACTTCGTGTACCACTGACAGGATGCTTGCTTAAGTCCATATATGAATCTATTTAACTTGCATACTAGCTTATCCTCATTACAGAAACCTTCTGGTTGTTTCATGTATACCTCCTTGTCAAGATCTCCATTTAAGAAGGATGTTTTCACATCCATTTGATGTAACTCCATATCAAAATAAGGTACTAATGCCATGACGATTCTTAATGAATCTTTCTTTGAAACTGGAGAGAAAGTTTCATTGTAATCGATGCCTTCCTTTTGTGTGAAACCCTTGGTCACCAATCTTGCTTTATATCATTTGATATTACCATAAGCATCTCTTTTGGTCTTATAGAGCCATTTACAACCAACGGTTGTTGCTCCTGGTGGTAATTCGACGAGTGCCCAAACTTGGTTTTAGGCCATTGATTCCATTTCTTCTTTCATGGCATTATACCAAAAGAAAGATTTTTCTCCATCCATGGCTTGTGAAAATGAAGTGGGATCTTTATTTAACTAACCATCAAAATCAGTATCTTGAAGGTATACCATATAATCATTAGAAATCGCTGGTTTCCTTACTCTTGAAGATCTTCTTAATTCAAATGTTTCATCCATAGTATCTTGATTTTGGACAACAGTATCATTATTAGTTGAATCTTCATGGTGCGACTGATTAGGAATTTGTTCATCTTGAGTCAATTGATCTTCTAAATTAACTGAATGATCATTTTGAACAATAATCAATTGATTATCTTGAAAAGATGAACTCGGTTCCTTAATTTCCTCAAACTGTACTTTATGAGGAATGTCACTCCCACTGAATTCAAGATCTTCAAGGAATTTTGCATTTCTAGCTTCGACAATCATAGGTGTGTGAGAAGGACAAAAGAATCTGAACCCTTTAGAATTCATTGGATAACCAATGAAATATCCACTAACAGTTTTCAAGTCCAATTTCTTAACATTTGGATTATAAACCTTTACTTCTGCAAGACAACCCCAAATGTGTAAATGCCTTAAACTAGGTTTCCAACCAACCCATAATTCAAAAGGAGTTTTTGGAACTACCTTCAATGGAACCCAATTTAAGACATATACTGATGTCTTTAACGCTTCACTCCAAAACTTTAATGGAAGATTGGAGGTACTAAGCATACTTCTTACCATATCCATAAGAGTACGATTTCTTATTTCCGCCACATCATTTTGTTGCGGTGTTCCTGGCATGGTGTATTGTGCAACAATACCCTATTCTCGAAGAAATTTTGCAAATGGACCTGGCATTTGACTCTTTTCTGTATATCGTCCATAATATTCTCCACCCCTATCTGACCTTACAACCTTTATTTTCTTTTCACTTTGTTTCTCTACCTCTGCTTTGAATATCTTAAAGGCATATATAGCCTTTGATTTATCAAACAAAAAGTAAAGATACATGTATCTAGTATGGTCATCTATGAAAGAGATAAAATATCTCTATCCATTTAGACTAGGTATAAGAGAGGGTCCCCATATATATGTATGTATGATCTCTAATTTATTAGTACTTCTTCTAGCTCCTTTTGTAGCTCTATTAGTTGTCTTTCCCTTTATACAACCAATAGCAGTATCAAAATCAATGAAATCAAGAGTTTGTAAAACTCCATCATCCACCAACCTCTTAACTCTCTGTATAGAGATATGTCACAATCTCTCATGCCACAACTTAGAAGAGTCCTCTTTAATGATACAACGTTTGCTGCCATTCTCCTCATGCACAACCATAAGACTATGCTCAAATGTAGGATCTAGATCAAACTTATACAAACCATCAAGTAATTTTCTATATCCAACAGTAACATGGTCTTTTAGAATTTCAAAGATTGAATTACTAAAAATAAATACATAACCAAGTTTCATAAGTCTGGATACAAAAACTAAATTTCTAGAAAACGATGGAATATAAAAGTTATTATCAAGATCCAATAAATAATTAGAATTTAGAACAAGTCTAAAAGTCCCCACAGCTTCCACTTCAGAAAGCATCCGATTGCTTGAATAGATGCTTTGTTCATTCCCCACTGGTTTCCTCAGGTTTAGGAAGCCCTGCATGGTAGTGGAAATGTGAATTGTACAACCCGAATCAATCCACCATGTATCATTAGGAGCATCAACAAAACAAGATTCATGACATAC